CAGCAGTGTGTGTGTGTGTCTTTCGTGCCCAGGAGCACAGGATGACCTGAAGAAGGTGACCAAGATCGCCTACTCCATGGTGAAGCAGTATGGGATGGTGCCCAGCATCGGGCAGATCTCCTTCCCAGACCCAGAGAGTGCCCCTGGCATCGGCCGGCGCCCCTTCAGCCAGGGCCTGCAGCAAATGATGGACCACGTAAGGCCATCCTGGGCTAAGGGTTTCTTGTTGTTCTTTGCTTTCTGCAGTTCACTGAAAAATTGCAAGTGGTTTACACCCAAACAATTTGCATTTTGCTGTTGGCCAGTGAGTGTACACTTACCTGTTCCATGACTGTGTCAGGGCTGTGAGATGAGGCAGCAGGGACAGGCAGAATCTCACCTGGCTGTAAGTTCAGCCTGTGCTCTGCAGGGCTGAGACGGCAAGAACTCTGTGTCTGCAAGTCACAGCTGCACAGTGTAGATGTGTGCACTTCCTAGATCAGATCTAACCAAAATGATGGTCAGACTGACTGCAAATCAGCCTGTTCTGACAGGAAATTTGGTTTCATTGCTGAGAAAATACACTGCTTTAATTCAAAAGTCAAAAAGCTGGAAACAAAAAAAGCTCTGTTTCAGAAGCACCATGGCTGTGCTTCCTTGGGATTTGTGCTGAGCTGCACCTTTAGCTCCTGGACAGCCTTAATTGCATTTCCCATCGAGCTGTGCTAGGGCAAGACTTCACTGCCCCTTATCACTAGCACTCCTTGGGCCTTTTTCCAACCAGTTTATCCATAGTTTCTGTTGATGAGAACCACATTCTGCCTGGCTCAGTTTGCAGATTCCATCCCTCAGTGCTCTCCTTGTTTAGCCACACACTGTGTTTGTTGCCACCTACACCCCAACTCCCTCTTCTTGTTTCTTCAAGGAAGCCAAAATCCTGGTGGCTCAGGCTTACAGGCGCACAGAAAAGCTCTTGCTGGAGAACCGGGACAAGCTGCAAACAGTGAGTTGGATTGTGTGGGGGTTTGTTGGTTGGTTTGGGTGTTTTTAACTGGTGGCTTTGCTGCTTTCTGTGCTCTGTAGCTCAGCTGTTGCAGTGTTGTCTCTCTCCTAGAAAGTCTTGTAGTGGGAGTGTTGGGAACGAGTGACTGTTTACTGTGTATCCCCCGGATTCAGAGCAGGCACGGGAGGAATGTGTGTGCCTTTCCCAGCAGTGAGTAGTCTGCCTCCTCACACCAGCTGGTGTTTGCAGGGTAGAGGAGGAGGAGTGCTCTGTGGAAATTATCAAAGCTGGAATTTGTGTCCTTCACCTGCATTTCTCTGCTTGCCTCTTGGCAGTACAATGTTCTGCAGAGCTGACAGTGACTGGTTTTGGGAAGCCAAGCCAGTCATCAGGCGGACAGTGTCTGGAGGAATATGGTGCCCGTCACCTTGGCTGATGGGAGCTGGTTCCTGCTCTCTGGTGACTCCAGGCAGTTTTCACCTCCTTAATGACTGATACACCGAGGATCCTTGGTACAGAGATAGAGCTTTGCCTCCTCTCCTTTGTGTCCTGACAGTCCCAATCCAGCCACACACCCTGGCATGTCCCCACCTGTGCCAGGAGCTCTGTGCCCAGTGGTGAGCCAAGCTTGGGTCACAGCACCCTCTGTATCTCCTTGACTTCTCTTCAGAATTCCAGTCTGTGACTTCCAAAATGACCAGGAGTCAACTTAATGTTGCCTATTTTGCAAATCCAGCAATTCTTTTCCTTAAATCCTCATTTAAACAAACAATAACAACAACAACGACCCCTTCAGCTATGCAGTGGCAGGCCTCCAGTGTGTGCTAAGGAGAGAGCTGGGACATGCTGCTGTCCCCAGGACAGTGCCCTGGCAGCTCTGGAGCAGGGATCCTCAGGGGTGTCTCTGCAGGCTCCTCTGTCCTGCTGCTGCCATGTAACAGCAGCCAGATGTTTGCTAGAGGCTCAGCACAGAAAAACTTTAAAGTGCAGCCAAAGTATCTCCAGAGTCAGTGTTTTGGTTGCCAGGCCAGCGTGTCACATCTCATCAGCAGGATCGAGCAGTTCTGCGCTGGACAGCCACCTGCTGCTCCAGAGGGGTGGTGCTGCTGCCAGAGGGGCCAGAGAATTCCACTCTTCTCAAGAAGAACTTGTGCTGACCTCCAGCCCCTGCCTGCAGGAACAGGCAGCTCTTTGTTAGCACTCTGTGTGCAGGGAAGGCTCTGGGTCTGCCAGAGGTCTCCATGCTGCTGCTTTGGCTCTTGGGCAGGGCCACAGGTGCAGTGACAGTGGCAGGAGGGACACTTCTCTCATTGTTCATGGAGCTCACATTCCAAATAATTCCCAAGAGTTTGCTTTGTTGCCTGCAGTCATGCTGTGTATTCCTGGCCAAACATGCTCTTGGGAACAGTGCTGGAGCCTGGGGAATTCGGTCCTGGCTGCAGTAGCTTCAGGGTCACCCTGTCTGTGGTGGCACAGCCAGGGTCTGCTCCTGGGGGGCTGCAGGTGCTGAGGCCTGAGCTGAGCTGACACTTCAGCTCACAGAAGCAGTTCTCTGCTCTCTCTGGGGACTCCATCCCTCATTTTGCCTCCTTCCTCTTTTCCAGCTGTCCAACGCCCTCCTGGAGAAGGAAGTGATCAATTACGATGACATCGAAGCACTGATCGGGCCCCCGCCCCACGGGCCCAAGAAGATGATTGCTCCTCAGAGCTGGCTGCAGGCAGAGAGGGACAAGCAGGACACCAGGGAGGAGGAAACACCTCCCCAGCCACCAAACCAGGAGGAGGAGGAGGAACCACGCCTGAGACCAGTGTGAACCCACTCCCGTGTGGAATGGGACACAGACCCTTTGCCTTCTCAGCTCCAGGATCAAAGATGCTGAGCAGGGAATTGCTGTGCTGCTGCTGGTATCCCAGAACTAAGGGATGGCTACATTGGCTCTTCGAGCTTTATCCTGCAGGAAGGAAAACTCCTCAGGATTTCAGAACTGGTTCCTAGCAGGGTGGGGGTGATTAGGAGTTGGGTAAGTCTGGTCTGCTGTGGAAGTTTCTTGTACGCAGGAGCAGGGAACGTATTCTAACGGGTGGAATATCCCATGTAAGTCACCTCTGGCTGTGCTCTGCACCATGGCAGGAGGGCAGGGCTGTGCCCTCAGCATGGGGACACCCCTGTGGGGCTGAGCTGGGCTGCTGCAGCTCTTGTGTAACCCTTGAACACAACACACAAGCAGCCCTGGCTGGAATAAACTGCCCACAACGTGCTGCTGTGTGTGTACAATGTGTCAGGCTCCGGGGGTATTTTGGCACACATGAAGCTCATTAGAGCTGTGGAGTGGTACAGGACAAGGGCCTCCTTCTCCCTGGTCAATAATTTATGTCCAGTTTTTACAGCAAGTGTTTCCTAAGCAGAGGTTGAGGCAAAACTGTGCAGAGCTCAGCAAGGGGACATGGAAACCAGCTGTGCAGAGGGTGACTCTGAGCACACATGGGAAAACTGTTCTGAACTGCTGGTTCTGAGCTGGAGAGGTGCTCTTGGAAATCCAGCAAAAGCAGGTGTGTTTATTGGGAATCCTCAGGAAAAGCTGCTTCTTCATCCTCTCGGCTGCTGCAAAACGGGCCCTGCAGACAGGGTTGTCTGGTGTTCATCAGAGAAAGCATTAAAGTGGTTGTTGCTGCCTGGAGTGCCCTGGCTGGCTGCGTCTTTTAGGAAGGGTTATTGTCTGCAGTTATTCCATCAGGACTGTCTGTGACCTGAGAGACCCCAGCCCAAGCCTGTGCTCTGACAGCTCCCAGCCCTCGGGCCTTTGTCACAGTCCCAGGCTCCTGTTCTGGGTCAGGCTGGAGCTGGGAGCCTCCCACTTCCCTGAGAACATGAAGATGTTCTGCACTGTGTCTTCTACCCTGTCCCAGCTCGTGCCCTGGGGTTTCTCAGTACCTGGGGAGTGATTTCCCTTGAGTTCAGGGACACAAGTAGTTTTTTACATTTTGAATGCTGCTGTCTGGATGTTTAAATTCCAAACTTGTTTGTTTCTTCCCAGTCTCACTCTTTGAATTTCCTTTCCAGCAGCATATGAAATTTTAAGTGCTCTTTGATTTTATTTTAATAACTCACAAAACCTTTGTAGGGAGGGGAGTTAATTTCTGTGGAGGTGAGGGTGGGAGTGGTGCAGTGGGGGCACAGCACAGGGTCCTTGGTGGCTTCAGGGGTGCTGCCAGCACTGCTGTGCCATTGTTCCCAGGCAAAGGCTGTGGATCCCACTGCTGTGGCACCTGGCAACTGCCCAGGGGCACAGAATTCCCCCATCCCTCTCCTGCTTCATGGGAGATAATGCTGCTACCCCAGAAGGGCGGGGAGCAGGGATCCTGCCCTGGGCTTGGATGGGGATTCCTCAGGGATTTGGGATCCACATAACTCCTGCCCAGTGTCCCTCCCATTCCCCTGTCCGGGAGCTGCCGGGCACGGGAGGGGGCACCGAGCTGCTGCCGCCGATCGAGCGTGACTGCGGTCCCGCGTCCCCCCCTGTGTCCCCGCATGGCCGTGTGTGTCCCGTGTCTGTCCCCGCCTGTGTCCCCGCATGGCCGTGTGTGTCCCGTGTCTGTCCCCGCCTGTGTCCCCGTT